AAACCTAGACACAGCGGATGCTTCGTCGTTCACCTCGCCACCATCTGGTGCAGGCCCCGCGGCCTCGGCTATTGAGCTTGAATGGGTTTAGGGTTTTGTTTTTGGTGCAAAAGGTTGTATCAGAAACCGTGCCAAGAGTAAAGCCTAGACACAGCGGGTGCTTCATCGCCACCGTCTGACGACTCTGGCACAGGCCCCTCGGTTAGTGTTCGGGCATCCCGTTGTATTAGAAACCGTGCCAAGAGTAAAGCCTAGACACAGCGGGTGCTTCACGCCCATCATCTGCATGCCCATCCGGCCCCTCGGTTTCGGACGCTATCGGCTATCAGGCTTAGTTGGGTTTAGGGTTTATAGGGTTTAGTTTAGTTTTAGGGCACCCGATTGTATCAGAAACCGTGAGAGTAAAGCCTAGACACAGCGGGTGATTCATCGCCACCACCTGCCAGCTCCCCGGCTGCCTCTCTGTCCTCAGCTGATAAGCTTTGCTTTTGGATTGGTTGTAGATTTCTATTCCTGATTGCTGAGGTTATTTGGGCGACTTCTGCAAGCCCCTATTAAATTCCTGAACTCGCACTCCGGATTTGAGGAAATGGAGCCTTCAATCTTAAGGACCCTAAATTCCCAACTTCAAAATCCTTTGGAAGTTCGAAATGCCGACACTAACTATTTGGACCTTGGTGCTGCCAGGTGTGGCACATCTGCAGCCCTGCCAGCGCGAGCAGCTGAAGCAGTTGGACCAGCTGAACCAGAAGGCACCTGCCCGAAACCCTTGTTCAGATTCAGATTGCTTACCATGCCAAGCCAGGTGCAACCATGAACCCTTTGTACCCCCATTCCCATTGGCCCCACCATCAACCCTAGACCCGAAAACTGAACTTACTAGCCTCCTCCGGCGACTCCACATCTGTGTCCACCGCCTGCTCGCTGCTGCAGCCGAAGCTCCGGAAGTGCGGCGGGAACTTCTGGGTGGGCTTCATAACGACCGGAGACGGAGACTTCGCCTTTAAATTTAGGGAGAGGACTAACGTTTGAAAGCTCGGATTTTCAAGTTAATCGGGTCTTACTAACCAAGACCCTATTAACTTGAAAATCCCAGCTTTTGTAGGGTTTTAAAAATTTAGGGTTTAGGGTTTAGAGAATTTATTTACCCCTTAAGGATTGAGGATCCGAAGTAAAAGAATATTATTCTTATTACGATTAACCGAGTGGCTGCCACCGCCGGCGTCTTCGCCTTCACCACCCGGAGCCAGCTGTCTCTCGCCGCCTGCGTGGGAAGAAAGCTGATCCCGCGAAGAACTCCAACCCAAGGTTAATGAAAATAATCAAACCTCAGTCAGTCTTTGCTGCCAAAGTTCTGCCACCTTCGGCTTCGGCGGCTGGCGGCCCACCGGCACTGTGCCAGGAATGGACCCAGCGATGGGCAGCACCGGCGGTGGGCGCTTCTCCAGAGGAGCCCACCTGAACCAGGCCTTCGGCAGCCGCCCCGCCGGAAAGGGCTTGCCGTAGAATGGAGTCGCCTCAGATAGTGGAAGGATTCGCGCCAAATCCCAAACCTTATTAAACCGTAATCCTTAAATATCCCTTCTTACGAAATAGGAAAGTAATTTAATTAAATACAAAGGGCTTCAGAATTCAAAAATATCATTGCCAACACAACCTGGGCTCCGGCTCCATATTTCGCGGGCCCACCCGCTTCGCCACCGGAACTGGCGGCTCCGGATCATCCGGATCTGAAGCCCCTGGCTCTGCCATTGATCTCCGGATCTCCGGCGCCGGGCGAAGAGACAACTACGACTACGATGCGTGATTGAAATTTAGTGAGGACGCTGACGTCGCCAAGGTTTAATTAAAGCGACAGTCACAGCCGCAGTATTAGGATATTAACAGAAGCCTTTGTTTGTCTCCCTGACTGAATGAAACCTTCCCCTCACCTTAAAGCTGGCCTTTACAACTGCCGAGTCGGAACCGTCCCTTCAAGTCTTTAGTGGATCGTCATTGAGATTCAGGAATCGGAATGAAAGCATGCAACAGTAACATCGACTGACACATGTCATAATATAATGGTCATGCGCCTGTGAGCCCGGGAACCACGGTTGCTGGTTGCGCAAGTAGTGCAGACTTAGCTATACTAGTGCTGGGACCGCTGGGATTCTTCCGAGGCTTTCACTGCATCACTGTCGGCCAAGCCCAGCCCTCAAACCCTATACTAACCGACGAACCTGTCAACCCCGCCGAACTAAGACTCGCTTGGTCATACAGCAATGCACTTAAACCACGACTTTCGCTTGGGTATTCAGGCTTCATTGGTGCTACGGCTGCCTTGAGAGCGCTTCCAGAAAGCTTCGCCTACTCCTTAGCAAGTTGAAGACCTCTGGGCAAAAGGCAAGGCCCCGACCCAACTTGGACCGTCAAAGACAACAAGAGCTTCAGAGACCTCGGGCTGATTCGGTTCGTCTTGCTCTGGCGGTTAGGGGGGGTTGCGTTCTGTTCGAGGTTTTACTCAGATGTGCGATGCTATCCTGCTGGTTGCCGAACTATGTGACTCAATGTTCACCTAGGGGTCGGCCACTTGGAAAAGCTGCTAGAGTATGGCTGTGCAGAGTGGAAGGCCTTCAAAACGCACTGCCCTAAGCCATGGATCCTGATTCAATCCGAATCGAAGTCTTGCAAAGCTTAAAGTCATTAAGTAGCCTCGGCCCATCGAAAACCCCAACCCGAAACCTATCTTTTTAGACTTAATGGCCACCATTTGGTGTAACCATTAAGTATCAAGTTGGAAAACATTAGTCATCCCCAGCCAGTCGATAAACCCAGGCTTAATGGCCACCAATTGGTAACCATTAAGTAACCCCAGCCAGTCGATAAACCGAGGCTTAATGGCCACCAATTGGTAACCATTAAGTAACCCCAGCCAGTCCATAAATCCAGGCTTAATGGCCACCAATTGGGAACCATTAATGTCGAGAAACCCAGGCATAATGGCCACCAATTGGTAACCATTAAGTAACCCCAGCGCGACGATGAAACCAATAGGACATTGTGAGGCTTTACAAGCCCCAGTGTGTCATGTTGCAGCACGGACCCGCATAAGTGTTTGGCCGAGGAAGAAGTGACAGCGGAAGCCTGCCGGTCGACTGGGATCAGGCAGGAGAGGCTAGAGCAGTAGATGGCCATCAGCTAGCAGCCATCAAATTTCGGGTTTATCAGACAGACTCCCTTAATGTTGCAAAACAATAAATTAATGTTCCGGAGGAGTAGCCGGTTGGTCCTGTTTGTTAGGATTCTGTGGGGGAGTGGCGGCCGTGTTCGACGAAACAAGGAGTGAGTAGGTCAAACTTTCGTCCTACCGCAGTATTCTCCTTTGAACTGCAGTCGTCTAAGTAAGTGTACCATGACCCGACAACAACGAAACGCGCTGCCCGAAACTCAAAATTGCTTGGTGTGAGAAGTGACACCAGAAGCCTGCCGGGCTAAGTGGGACAAGGCCGGAGAGCCAATCAAGTAGCTCACCTTGGCGGGTTTAGGGTGTACAAGGGCTTTAGGGTTGCAGGTTTTAGGGTTTAGGCTTGGTGGGGTGAGCCATTAAACAGTCCTACCAGCCCAACCATTAAAAAGGTTTAATGACCGCCAGTTGGCAGGCATTAAACAGTCCTGCCAGCCCAACATTAAGCAGGTTTAATGACCGCCAGATGGCAGGCATTGAACAGTCCTACCAACCCAACCATTAAACAGGTTTAATGACCGCCAGTTGGCAGGCATTTAACAGTCCTACCAGCCCCGGTTCAATGACAATCAGATGACAGCCATTGAACGAACCAAGACCCTGAAGCCCTTCCGTGAAGGCTGCCTGGAAGATGATAAGCTGTTGGCCACTCAGCAACCAAGAGTGTAGTGACTGCCAACTGGCAGCCATTAGACTGAGACAGCCCCGAAGTTGAAGCAAGAATGGACTGCCAACTATTAAACAACCCTGAAGACAATCCGACCCTTAACAGCCATCAATGTAGATTTTGAAGGAAGCCGCAATTTCATTTCATGGCGCTAATGGCCATCAAATGTCAATCCCAAAACTATCCCAAATTACCCAGGCCGGACCTCCGCGTTCGTCGTCAGTCGAGCAAGACTCTGAGTAGGATGTGCTGGAGCCGGAGCCTTCCCCGAACCGCATTTAATGTCAGCCATGTGGCTAGCCCTAAGTATACTGAAGCCAGTTAGATGCTCATGATGCTGTGTGGGATCCTGACTAGGGCTAGGGCCCTATTCCGGGGGATCAGAAAAATCCATAGCTCTGAACTTGCTGAACCTATAAGCCTAAATCCTGAGGCATAGAGACCCTGAGTGCACCAAAGTCAGTGGTACACTTTAGAATTCAAAAAACTCACACCGACGTGGGACAACCCGACGAAGCTTTCTGGCCTTTGCTGAGATCTCCTCGACGATCTCATCGGACTGCGATTGGCCGTGGCCTCCGGGGGAGTGGCTTAGTCCTGGGCAACTTTGGGTTTGGAGGTTGGAGGGGTTTCGGGCTTTAGGGCTTAGGGTTTGTGGTTTAATGGCTCCCATAATTAGCAGCCATTAAACAGGTTTAATGACTGCCAGCTGACAGGCATTAAACAGCCGCCAACCGACAACCATTGAACGAACCCTAACCCCCAGACCCTAAGAAGCCCCAGGGTTCAATGATTGTCAACTGACAACC